CGGCGGCGACGGCGGTGGCGGCGGCGGCGGCCACGCATCGATCGCAGGATGAAAAGTGCTACGTTACGCCACTGTGGCCGGTTGAATCGAGAGAGCTGAGTGCATTTTCCATCCGTCACCCTGCCGCCGCGGCGCCGCCAGTCCGATTTTTCGCCTTATCCCATTCCCCGCTATCCCTCTTTCATCTTCGCAGTTTTGTCTGTAAGTGCACACGCGTCAATACGCGCGTGAAACTCGAGCGATGGCAGTTGCACACGTGCTTTTTACCATCACACAGTCCCTTTGGCACACGGCGTCGTTAACGATTCTTTCTGTGTTGTATGCTTTTCTATGCGAAAGAATCGCATTTCAGCGTATTCGTTATATTCAATACCTTCCCAAAGTCAAATAACGAAGTTGAATATATATTGATACAATTCGCAATACAGCCAATATTTCCGCTCTAAATGTGGATTTCAAATTGAATCTAATTTAATACCAATATATCGTTCAGTATACATGAGAGTTACAAATAAAATTTAGAACTAACCAAATGAAAGCAGTGCCACTTTCAGATATTAATAAATAAAAATTTGAAAGCAAAATATGAATTTTAAATTTCGAACAATTATTAATTTGAACGTCTTGTTTTCTACATGATTAAATTTTTAACTCTCCGCATAAATTTTAATTCCTTTCCATCAGCAATATCTTCGAGGAGCAATAAATTTTTTACTATTTTGGATTATATAAAAATCTGAAAAAATTTTGATGTAACTCATGTCAAAGTTTGATACTTAAACAATGAGTTTTTATAAAAGTCGGATTTATCTGTACTTTATTTCTTACAGATTTAAATTTATCTATATAAAAATTTACAGAATCGAAACATCGAGTGTCTTTAAAGACCCCAGTTGCCGGCGGCGGCGGAAGGTTACATATTTAAAGCGTATTAAAAAATAAATCAAATCTTTATAGGTGAGTGGAAGTTGCACCTTGCAGACCTGTAGACATTAGCAATTAACTCATCCAATAGATTTATCGTTATATCTGATGTAAGATATGATATAAATATTTCTCTCGCTTTGAATCCTTTTTTCAACGACCGCGTACATTCATATTTATTTTTGTTAAATTATTAAATATTATTTCTGTTAAAGGATATTATCATATTTTCTTACTGTAAAAAAAAGCGGTGATTGTATAACATTCCCTATTAACTCCTTTCTCATCGCTGTTTTCTGCGTAATGCATGTCAAGCTCTCATTCCCTCTGCATTTTGCCAAATGCGTTTTCTTTGTTAAAACCGTTTCAACGATTGTCGTACTGAAATTTACTCGTTTAATGAAACCCACTAGCCTAAAATAACTGCGAATTCTTGGCAAGTTTCGAAATCTTTCTGATAGAAGACTAGTTTCTCAAACTATGCCTACAAAAATCTCCAAGTCTCACAAGTAAGTGTATCTATCTATTCTATAAACTATGAAATATGCTTTGCAATCCGATTTTACAAACAATGTTAACGATGTTACTCACCTAACGAAGGGACGAAAGTCAAATTGGACGAGGCTAGCACGAATCTGAAACAATACAGATATATGTGATGTTATTATTAATCGTGCCAGAGTTTGTCGCGTAATTGTAACTAACTTCGGCTTTAACTAAGCGAATAATTAGCTACCCTTTCCTGAAAGGTACAGTATGTCGAAACAGTGTATTGTTAAATGTAATAAAGCATTCCATTCTACAAACAAATCTGTAGATGTCAACAAATCGTTCTGCAATTATATAATAGGAAAGAAAAGAGAGTCTCTTTCGGATTAAGTCTAATTATAAAAGAATAGTATTTTAAAACGGCAACACTTTAATTTATATAACTTTTTAAATTTTTCTAATTTAATTTATATTTTTTATTTGTGATTGTATAACGTACATTACAAAAACTTACAAAGTTTTAATAAATATTTATTACAATTTCGTAAATTTTTTTTCAGTGCAACGCGTTATAGTTTATCTTTTGTATGTAGTGTATCCGTTTATGTATCAGTAACATGTTTCTGCCAAAGCAGATATACGATCGATTCACAATTAACTCTTCATGGCTCCAACCAAGGCTTTGAAGATCTAGCTGGCAAATTTCCAATTTTAAATTATTCCGCCTCAAATTCGGACACATACAAAAAAGTGAAAATCGTTTCGGGTTATATCATTGTAAAATTGTATTATTAAATGTCGAAAAAGTGTATCAGAATTTTTTTAAATTTTTAAAACCCAAAGATTCTTTGAAACATATAATATAGACATCAATGATCCGGTTGAATATTATAATTAATAAAAAGAAACGCTGGATGGACCATGAAAGATAAACACATACAAAATAATATAGACTGAAAAAATAAATAATAAGCAATATAAATAATAATTATAAATAATAAGTAGTCTAGATTCGTGTTAGGCAAACAGATTATTGCATATCGGTTAAGCTGGTTTTCATGACAAGGAACGTACATTAGTACAGATGACATCTTCGTGTCTCCGGAATGGGCACGAGAAGCGAAACTCGTATATATCCGCGAAACGAAAAGTTTCCGTGGAAATGTCGCAGTTTAATCGAGTGCTAGAATGTGGAGAACATGTTCCTCATGTACCTAACCAGTGCTAAAATTAAATTGCCGCTAGCTTCGAGCAATCGGAAGAGATTGTTTTACTTTTATTTGATTTTGAATATGATATGTGACCTCTTAAGTTAGAAGTAAAATAGATTTATACTTTATCATAAATTAATAACAAATATTTTTGGACAATATAAGAAAAGTATACTTTTTGTATATGTAAGAACAATTATTTTTTTATCCTGAATAGATAATCGCAAAAATATTACAGTTCAATTCATATTATATGTAGCAACAATTAAAAAAAAATTAATGAGATACATTATGTTTCTGTGTACTCGTTAAGTGGAATTATAATTTTAGTTTCTTCTTTTTCACTATTGAGAGAAACAGATATACAAACAAGGGAATTGTAATATGTTAGTTTTTAATGAATAAAAATGTAACGTTGCGCTCTGTTACATTCTACAAGCACAAAGATACGTGTATTAATCTCATGAATAAAATCTTGTTTATCACATTATTCAGCCTGCCAACGAATGTAGCAAAGCGCACAACATTTTTCTGAAACAGTACTAAAAATTTCATCGCGTGGAAGAGAACGGAAGAAAGCGCGCCAGAGAAAACGTGAAAATAAATTTCTATAGCCAATCCGGTAATGCGCTAGAGGATTCAGGATTACTAAGGTTTTGTTCCGCCGTTAATCCTTTTTCGTCGTATTTCGTTTCAGTTAATTCCTGTTGGTGTTCCCCGCGTGACATCATTTATTAAACCCGAGAGGCGGATTTGCTTAGCGCGCATGCGAGTTTGATGGTAAAATGCCGTAAAATGAAAATGAATGCAGGTTTTGTAGATACACGTAGAGTATAGATGACAACACACTTTCATCGGTTTCATGTGCTTGTTTTGATACTATCTTCGAGCGACACTCGCATTTATTTACAATTAATGTTATAAGAGAAACAAAAAATTTTATCCGATCATGCATAAATATTCCACGTTTTTCTTTGTATCACCATTATTTAGCTTAAGT